AGGATGAGAGGTAATGGCCTCAAGTTACACCAGGAGAGGTTCAGGGTGGATGATAGGGAAAATCTTGTCCAAAAGAGTTGCGCAGCTCTGGAGCCAGCTGCCCAAGGAGGAGGTGGAGTCACCATCCCTGGAGGTGATTCTCATGAGGTGCTGAGGGACATTGTTAGAGTGCATGGTGGTGGTAGGCTGATGGTTGGACTGGAAGATCTTAGAAATCTTCTCCAAACTCAGTGTTTCTATGATTCTAAAAACAGCAGTAATTAGAAGCAGTAATCTAAAAAAAAAACAGGCTGGACCATCATCTTAGGGCCAACTTGTCTTCTTTTTCCTCCAAGGAAAAAGATCTAGTAACTGGACTCTATTGCATTTGAGTGGCATTTTACCATCATGTAGATCTGCAAGGGGAAAAAAAAAAGAGAAAAGCAGATGATGCATTAAAAACAGAAGCACTACTGCACTTGTTAGTGTTTCTATAATAGCACCATTGTTGATTTCCAAGCCATGACATTGTCTGTTCAGCACTAAGGCTCTGGTTACCCCCAGAGTTACAAGATGGTGATCTCCCCAAACATTTCTGGCAGGTCTGGAAGCCCATATCCTGCACATGGAAAAACAGAATTAGCATTTTAATTGAGTTTCAGAATTTTGCCACTATTTAGGTAATTTGTAAAACTTTTCCATTTCTTGTTTAGTGTACTTCATGCTTTAGATATGGTCTGAACAACTGACCCGTCAACTGAATAGGGTATTAAACTTGTATTTCTCATTAGGGTAATCCCTGAGCTAGGTATTAAATGTAGCATAGTAAAATGAAATTCTTGCTTAGTATATATTTAGAAGCCCTGTGTTTAATCAGCATAGAGTGTCTCCATTTTCCTGCAAATCTCTGCAACTTCTTATTGATCTAATTATGTAAATCATTGCTTTTAAATGTCAGTCATTTGCATATCTAGCTGTGCATATTGAAAAGGCTTCTCCCATGGGTAAAACAAATCTCTGTGTTACAGTACAGAGAGAAAAAGTATTGCCCAGATAGAAAAAAAACATTGCCTTTTGTTGCTTAACTGCTGCAACTTGTAACAACATTCAGGGAGGATTTACCAAAGGGTTATGCCAAGAATGACCTTCGTCTTTTATGCATAGTCTTCAAGATATATGATCCAGGATGGATTTACATCAGTCAGTCCTACAGTGGCAGGGAACAAAGTTACAATTTTTAACATACTGTAAGATGCTGAGGCATTTTAACAAGATAACCAGAGATCTGGTTGATGCTGGAGCTTCAGTTAACAGCCTGAAGGATTGTGCAGCAGTGAACATGTAACTCCAAGAGGTGTGATGTGTGCTGGCTCTGTGTGCCTGCTGCTCTTCCACAGGAACTCAGCCACTGTCCTGGGAATTCCAGTGTGCTTCGGGCTCAGAAGTGACACCAAGTCTTCAGGAGTTCAAAAATGTGTCACATAATGGCACTTCAGAAAAAAAGAGAGAGAAAATAATTGCTAGGGTAGACGGTGGCAGGATGCAGCACTGCCCACAGCACAAGTTTGCTGTATGGTGATGAACAGAGTACCAGTACACCAATCCCATAATATCCATCCATCACTCTTTTTCCCCTCCATTTCAAAATTGTGATTCGTTTTGGAACACCCTGAAGTTCTTCCTTTTTTTTTTTATTTCAGCCGTCGGGTATATAATGTGCCATTTCCCAGGCTTTGGGTCTCTAGTAAGGGCACGGGTCACTGGGAGAGGGAACTGGTATGGAGCAGCCCCCAGCAGGACCCCTAACCCTTCTCCCTGCCTGTTTCCGCAGAGGATAAGTACGGCGAGCGGAGACGGCCGGCACTACTGCTACCCGCACTTCACGTGCGCCGTGGACACAGAGAACATCCGCAGAGTGTTCAACGACTGCAGGGACATCATCCAGAGGATGCACCTCCGCCAGTACGAACTCTTGTGAGGGGATCGCCGTGGAACCTGTGGTTTTAAATTCTTTGCTCCTTACTCTTTCTCTTGATACTACCCCACACAGGGTGGAAGAATATACTATAGAAATGTCAGTCTCTTCACTTGGTTTACTTTAATTATTTAACCTTAAAGCTGATTTGAAGCGAGTTTGGGTTGGTTTTCCTTCATGCTTTTTGGGACTATTTTTGTGCTTTATTTTGACATGCCACTTCGTCATTCCACTAAGCCCTTTGGCTACCTCTGTTCCCTCGGGTTTTGTTGTCAAAAGCGAGCGCGACCCGCGGCGCGTTGCGGCAGGTCGGTGCCAGTTCGGAGCGGGATGTTGGCTGGACGACGCCAAGTCACGGCGCTCCCTCCGTGTGGGTTTCCTTTTTAACGTGACATTGAAGAGTACTTGATGGGTGAAAAAGATTAATGCACTTTGTATCAGGTTATTAAATACTGTCGAGGAAGTAGACACACAATGTAGCAGCACCACAATATTTATTACTCCGTCACAGTTTTTAGCATTTCTGAGTTGCAGGTCAACTGATACGGTGACCTCCTCTTTTAAGCCGTTACTGGCGCAGGAAGTAGAGTAGATACTGAGAGGAATAGTGAAGACAAAGCAATTTCTCTGGGGTTCCGGAGCTCAGCGTCTCTGCGCACCTCAGGCGTTTGAATCACAGCTCCTTTTCAGCCTGTCGCATCTAGGCAGAAAATTGACCGCCCTCACTTACGTTGTTTGTGCTGTCCACAAATGATCCTTTTCGTTCCGATCATTCTTGGACGACGGTCCTCTCCCTATATATATTTTTTTGTTTTACTGCTGGTTTATTATATTGTACAGACTGTAAAATGTAATATTATTTTGTACAACTTTATTGAAGAAAAATACTTGTAGAAGATCTTTGTGCCTTGATTATGGCTGTACCTGTAAAATGAGCTAAGATGTAAGTATGTTTTTGATTGCGCTGTACAGCTTGATGTCAACCTTACCTGCAGCAGTGACTGGAGGTAAGAACTTTATCTGTAGAGTTTAGGGATTTTTTTCTGGTTTATATAAAAATGCTCTTTAGTATAAAAATTATAAATTATGCAAATTAACCACTTACCTTTCCCAGTGAGGTATTACCGTCACCGGATGTTGCAGCAAACATGCCTTTCTCTTTCGAAGTCTCAGCTTTAAAACATTGGAATTCATTCGAGTGTCCAAATTGCAACCTGGTGTTGTTTTAATGGGAACCGAGGATTTATTATTATTATTCTTTTTTTGCTTTCTGTTTAGAAAATATGTTCGGTAATTCTTCGGTCATTCATAGAACTTCACAATGGCACAGACCGATTGTGAACGTGCAAAGCACCATTCTGTAGAGCTCTTCGATCTCTGTACCAACAGCGGCTTTCATTGTGCAAGTAAATAGCGAGAAAGAAGACAAAAAGTTGTATCGACCCTCGTGTCTGGCCTAAGAGAATTACAAGATGACATTTTTATTTCTCTTTTAATAAAGAGACACGTTAGAAAATTGTTTTATTTTAAATATTGTAGAATCAAAATGTGTGAATATTTCTCAAACTTGAATAATTTATGCAAATGACATTCTCAAAAACAAGTTGTGGTACAGTACAATATATAAAAGCAAGAATTGCTGTAGCAATAAGGCATGTCCTTTTTAGTAACTATAACACTGCTTTATATTTTATACATAGGTGTTTTCTGTCTGTGACTATATACTTTTCCTGTGTCCAAGATAACCTGTACAAATGTCTAAAATTACAGTTGCAATAACAGAAACCTAGCGAAGTGTTAGACTACATTACTTCACAGAGTGTTTTACCACATTTGGACCGTTCCCACTCCTCGTTTTAAAGTTAGGGAGAGATTAAGAGCTGACACGTTCCCGACGTTGGTCTCCAACTCGGCGCTTCGATCAGTGTTTTGCTGTAAGCATCGCTGGTGGTTACAGACCCCTGCCACCACCTCTCAAATTCAAGTCAGACTGCGGCCCACTGCAGTCCTTGTTTCTATTTGATGACAAACAACCCCATTTTAGACACGATAATATGACCATTTCTTCTTCTCAGAAACGTGTAGATTTTAATACGTGCAAGTTGAGTCATCAGATATTTCCCAGAAAGCGAAGGGCTGGGTGGACTGAGCTAGTCAACAAAACCCCTGACTGCAGAGATTCTCTCGCTTCCCGCGCCAATGAAAGTACCAGGACAAGTAACAGGAGACGGTCTTGGCCTCAGAAGCAGCCCCTGCCCTAAGAGCTACCAGCCCAGCAGTGCTCAGCAGAAGCTTTGCTGGGATGGGTGGCAAGACATGGTGATGTTTGTCACACCCTCCCTTAGGCACAGTGCGCAGAGGTGCTGAGCTCTGCTCCAGCGCTGCCACCCGGCCAGGGGCTCCTTGCAGCTGCCACCTCCCCAGCACAGAGCTGCTGCACTTCGCAGTGGGACATTACAGAAACGCTAAGAGCTGGCAGCCCTGCGGGAGCCTGGAACAAGAGGCGCCTGCCCCTAGCACCTGCCTGCAGCTGGGGGCTGAGGCACAGGACAATGTTACTGCAGCTGTATTTGACCTTCCTTCCTGCAGAGCGGCAGCCGGAGGGCCCCTCACCACACAGATCTCTGGGATGCAATAGGGCCCTCTTTTTTAAGCCCATCATAGCACATCTTTTTAAAAATAGCAGCTTGAGGTGTCAACCTACTTTTGTTTTAAGCAGGTTTCAGGTGTTGTACCAGCAAACTGGATCTGCGAGGCTTCCTCGTGTTGCTGTCTGGTAGATGCTAAATGGTAGCCATCCAATAGTTTGGCGCGACAGGAACTGCAAAGTTTCTTGTCCCTCATGTAGGACATTCTAAAAAGGTTATGGAAATCTGCATCTCTCAGTGCCGATGTATCTTGCTTTTGCCTGATCCTACCAAATAGATGTGTGACATGAGAAGGGCCACGCAGCAATAAAAGAGAGAAACGTTTCCAGTTTGCTGCACTGAGCCTCCACCAGGGTGTGACACTAGTGCAGACAAGTGATGAGGCAACAGGATTTACATAATGTACAGTTACACTTTTAATATACATATTTGATACAAAAATTATAGCAGGAAAAGGACTCATTTGATTGTAGAATACAGTATTTTTGTACAGCATGGAACGTTCATTTCAGTTAATTATTTATCCTGTAGTAGTCATATCAGCTGTATAGGACTTCTATGGTATGTGTAAATGCAACCTGCCTTCAGACTAGCAATCAAATTAGGTCATTTGCTGGCATGAATATAGTCTGATGTTTGACTGTTCTCAGCTTTGGTATTTCAGTGACTGAATGCAGATGTCTGGCTCTTCATGCTGCTTTATGCTTACTGATTAAACGCTGAGCAAAATAAAATGGTGGAGTGAGAAGCTGAAAATGAGCTAGCACCAGGATGACGAGCAGGGCTCCTGCTGCCCAGTATATAGCGAAGACTCTGCTCTCACGTGGAAGGAAGCATTTGTGGAGGGAGAAGTCAGTTGGTGTTATGCTGCCCTGGAAAAGAAAGACAGACAGTGTCACTGCGCTCTTATAGTGGGTCCCACAGCAGGAGTTGCACCAGAGCGGGCAGACCTCCAGCTCCCAAGTTCTGTGTTGGGTGCAGAGGGTTGGGGCCAGCTCCCAGTACCAGTGCCTTCTCCAGGGGGCTGAAGAGTCTGTACTGGCTGTGCTGGGCGCTAAATGGAGCAACCAGCAGGCCAGCATTAGCCCAGGCGCCAATCTGCCTGCTTCTCAGCTAGAGAAACTGGGGAGCTGGGCTCCTCCTCAGCTCAGCCTTCAGGAGAAGCCAAACTCCAGCTGCGGGGAAGCAACCTGGAGGCAGCCTTCCTGAGCTCGAGTTAGACTTCGTGAATGTGCCCCTTCCTCACCCCAGGCCCTCCTCCTACCCGCTACACACTGCAAAACACATGTTGGCTAATCCAAATTGCCTACACTAGCTTAAACAACTGAGAACTTTGTTGGGTTTTGGCTTGAAATTTAATTCAAGTTTACAGCAGCCTGAGGCTGAGCTAAAACCATAGCGAGGAGGATGCTGCTTGAACTGGCCAACCTCTTGTTTTGTCTGGCATGTGCAGAGAGCATACATAGTTTGAAGGCAGCTGCTCTCAGGAATACGGAATAAACACAAATAATTTTCAACAAGAAAGATTAACAGTAGCATAAAATGAATTGCAAAGGTTGGGGTTATCTGTGTATTAAGGAGCCTAAACTCAACAGTAGAAAAATACCTTAAAGATTTGCCCCCTTAGTCACAGAGTACTCCATAAACAGAGTGCAGGTTTTGCTTCTTACTCCACATTTCTCGGAGTTCTGTTTTCTTTCTCTCCTGGGGAATGTGTTGATTTACCTCTGATGATATACTGAGCACTGGAACTGCCTGCGCAAGCAGAACTAACACTGCATGAACGCAGACTGGACAAGAGGCGGCCCATAGGCACGCAAGCAACTCTTTCCCTGTGTGAAGTGATCCGTGCCCGAGGCTGGAGGCCACCACCACCACGTGAAAGTTCAGGGTGGCAATGGTCTTTGTTTAGAGTGGGTAAATCAGCTGAGTAACATGAGCCTTTCTACTGTTTGGTGCACAATACTGATTCTTTTTTACAAGTCAACAGTTTACAACGCGCCCTCTTCATAAGCAAATGTCAGATGCTTGTACCCATATACTGATTAGGTCTTTAACAGCATTGCTTTGTACCACACAGAACGTGGCTCCCACAGATGTACTTTATAAAGTGGACGCAGTGTACTGAGTGGGTCGGGTGGGTAGGCAATTATTTTTTATTTTTTGTTTTTACAGGTAGAATCAGTTTTAAAATATAGCTGACTGCCATGTTGATTTATTTATGAGAGTTATCTGACAAAAATAAAAAAAGATAATAATTAAAAACTTACCATGATGAAACTAGGGTTGTTTCTATTCCTCCAACTGAACGACGGGACGCTGATCTCCGGGATCCCCCCCGTGTGCAGCACTTGGCAGGCGCTGTGCGTGTGCCCGCTGAGAATCAGGCGGGGATGGAACCACCACAGCAGCTGCGGTGCGCAATGGGAAAGCACAGCGGTAAGCCGTAACTAAAAGGAGACCGCACGCACGGCCCGTTTCTTCTTCTGACAGAATGAAAATGTGGGAGTTCTATCAATCTTAAGGAGTGTTTTGGATCAACTTCTGTTTTCCATTAGGCTAATGTTGGCAGTGCAGTATCACAGTCAGAGAATCACACGGGTTGGAACAGGCCCCTGTTAATGGAGTCCAAGCCCCTGCTAAAGCAGGTTCCCTACAGTAGGCTGCGCCGGAAAGCATCCACGCAGATCTTGAATATCTCCAGAGAAGACCCAACTACTGCTTTTTCTATCCACACAGATCAGAAAAACGAAGCTAACAGCATGCTCTGAACATTGCAGATAGAAATACCATTTTAACAAAACAACTGGGTGTTCGCAACCATGGGAGAACCCTGTACTGCCCATCTTGAGTGAAGATGTTTATGCAGCAGGAGATAAACATCAACACAGCTTTGGGGCGTACAGCAACTTTACATGTTCTTGCAGTTACTCCTGCAGCTGAAGCAGTACTGTCAAATAGGGGCTTTCTGCTAGGTTTACCATTAATAGCCACATTATATAAACTACAGAACGCTACACTAGAGAGAACAGTGGCATAGCACACTTAAGAGCACCTGCACTTACCACGTGCAGAATCAAGGCCCAGATCACGCTGACCCTCAGGAGATGATCCACAGCTCTACTCAGCAGCCTCTCAGAGGCCGCGGTAAGCAGGAGCCCCTAGGGGCAGTTCATTTCAGCAAACGTTTGCCCTTTCCAAAATGTCCAAGCCAGTATGTTTCCAGGGACCCAGGCCACTCTCCAACCAACCAACCCACCCACCCACCCACCAATACTCAAGCTGCCGATAGAGAAAACCTTTTGTGATGCTTCCTGAGACAGCACATCATACTTCTCTTTAAATGGGATGGTCTTCTCCTCCGGAGGGGCAGCATCTTCTCCACTGCATTCTGCATCACTTTTCCGATAGAGAGGGTAATGCTGGGTGAAATGCAAAGCGAGGATGAGTTGTCAACAACACAGCCTGTCTAGAAAGGTCATAAATACCCAAAGCACGTTGACACATTGCCTCACCCATCCCCAATTCACCTGCAGAAGGATTGGTTGTGAAGCTGGAGGCTTTTCTCCATCACTGCACTTCTTCTCAGGATGGTTCGGTTCCTATGAATAAAATCAATCCATACGTACTGTCCTCACCTCTGTGTACCAAAGGGGTGGGGAAGGGACTTAACAACAGCTACAGATTGAGGTATTGGATTTTTCAGTTGTTATGTTTCTTTCTTGAGAAAAGCAGTACCAGCCTAGAGTACAGTGTTTAAATACTGCACCAACTTTCAGGAGACTGCTGCAGGTATAAGGGGAAAGCTCTGATTTCCCATTCACAACATGGTGTGAATTGAGCTGCACTCTTCCTGAAGGTGGAAAGCAACCACAGGCTCCCACTGCACAAGGAGGGCACAAGAGATTGAAGGCAGCCTGAGATGCAGCATTTAGGGTTAGGCAGTTTTTTCACTGGGAGATGGATTCAGACTGATTATCAATGCAGCACATGATGCCGCCCACCTGGCACTGTCTCCTATGAAAAGGTGAAGAGGGATGAAGCAAGCAACTGGATTTGATGAAATAATACCACTGAAACATTACCAGGCTAACCAGGCAGGACAAGAACAGAATCAGAAAAGTACAATAGGATATATAGAGCAGAACAGTGAGCAAAAATAGAAGTGCATGGCTTATTTGATCAGAAGAAAGCAACTTCTGTTAGCTGACAGCAATAACGAGGAAGTGAGCACCATTTACAGGCTAAGATGACAAATGAGGAGTTGTTACTCTGCTAACACGTTACAGTAGGAATGGGAGCAGGTTTATTTCAGACAACAGCCTTCACTACACCTTTACTGCTGCTACAGCATCAACATTTCCAGCGCAGCAGGCAGGCTGCTGGCTATCACCATGTCATCAGCAGATCTTACCTGCTGGGAGCAGTTCAGTCTGTGAGAAAGCGCCACAAGCTTCGCCTCTGCAGTGCGGCACAGGGTGCAGCCATCGCCCTCCATGGCCACGCTGTTCACGAGGACAAAGCTGGAAAACACCACATCGTGGGCTGAGAGAGAGGTGGTGAGGACAGGAAGGTGTTTGCTGTTCATGCACACAAGAATAAGCCTTATTTGATAAAATGCAAGGGTTCCAAAATGGGACACAGCTGAGCAAAACTTTTTTGCAGCTTCTGATGCCACATTTTGCAAATCCTTTTCAAGTATCCATCCTGTAGCTATTGGCCTGTCTCGTAGGCTGCTTTCTAATCAGTCATTAATTAGGTTGCACCATATACTGGCTGCTGTATTTTATGTTTACTCCATCTTAATTACTGTAATAGATACTGAAGCAGTATTTGAATGAAATATTACAAGTCAACTAAACTGAATTCTGAGAGAAAGGAGAACTTTGCTTCTCTCTCTGCACATATTTCAGGCAACAGAAATGTGTTTTTGGATGTTCCATTCCTTCAGAATGACTGAAAAGCCCCACAGCACTGCATCTGGCTGCCTGCCTCCAGAACTCAGGTTCATACCGTGCTGCCTCGCAGAATGCAGCACTCGGTTAGTAGGAGAGCAGACATACAACCTGCCTGCCATTGGAAGCCGGAATTCTGCTGTGCTGTTATATGAAAGGAGATGCAGAGATGTTCCTGAACTGATTTAAACCTGCTGGAGTACGTATCTGTAGGACCCTACATCTACATAATAAACAGCATTATACTTAGCATTCATGAAGCTCATAGATCTTCCTGGGGAGAAAACCATCACTGCTAGACCTGTTTGGCATATTCTAAATGTCTGCTCAATTAATTAAGCAGTGCAACCTCCTTGTTTCTGGATCTTATACTCCCATGAGTGATGATAACCTCCTAACATGCTGCCAAATGCAGAGCAGCAGTGGCTCTGCCCTTCCTGTAGCACCTTAGGTTTAAAGAGAAATGCTTTGCCACACTCCCACTACACTGTCTCTCACCAGACTCTGGCACGGTACATAACAGCAACCAAAGAGCACGCACCCAATAACAGCTCTGGCACCAAGCTCTGTGCTCAGGGCCTCAGCCCAAACAGTGTCTGCATGACCCCACCGTGTGGGGAACCTGTGGCCAAACACCCGCTGCTTTCCCAAATTCCTCAGACAAGGACCAAAGAAGTTATAAAAATTAATGAAACTTTCAGCTTGCAAGCACGGGAGTTGGTTGTTTCTTTTCTGACTCCTATTCTGCTCTGTTTACAGCCATGGGTCATTACCAGCTGCGAGGAAGTACAAATACAAACCTAAGAATGTCATTCCAACTCCTCAGTACTTTTCCATTTGAAAGAAAATTGACCAAGCTTAGAGCAAAAGCTTCCCTCCAGATCTAAGTATGTTTGTACAGAGTATGTCACCCTGAACATAACACAAGCTAGGTATGAAGTAAAAGTAATAATAATCAGATTTAAGTGAAGCATTCCCCTACTTAGCAATTCAATTCATTACTAATTCAATTCCAGTTCTCATTCTCCTATTGCACTAACAGCTGGGCAGAACATTTATATATGTATATATATATATATATATATACACTCACTTCGTTCCTTTTCGAGTTATTAGCTTTCCTGAAGTAAAGTTGAAAACTTTTTCAAATCGATGTACCTTGTAAGTGGTCATTCTGCAACACAGAATAAAAATACAACTGAGGTAAGAGACTGACATTGTAGATAAATAATAGTATATAATAATAAATAATAATATAATCAATGCTTAAATAATCTGACAGAGCTGCTTTGCAATTTTTTAAGCCACTCCCACAGCTTGCTGCCACGTTACTTAGAGCACGTATTCATCCAGCAAGCACAGGGACAGCCGGACACTGACAGCGCTGTGTCATGTCCCAGTCACAGATGTCCCAGGGGAGCACAGGGCAAAAGAAATGGGAAAGGGAATATGCTTATACTTTGCAGACGATGAAGCCCAACACAAGAAAAAGAAACTTCAAGACTTCTCTGCCAATGCAGAAAAGTGAGCCCTGAACAACTTCGCATATGCTCTAAGAAGCACAAAAGTAGCCTGAAAGGAGCTGGGGGTCCTGGTGGACAGCAGGTTGGCCATGGAACAGCAGTGTGTCCTTGTGGCCAAGGAGGCCAATGGGATCTCGGGGCATATTAAGAAGAGTGTGGCCAGCAGGTCAAGAGAGGTGATTCAGCCCCTCTGCTCCGTCCTAGTGAAGCCACATCAGCCCTGTGTCCCGGTCTGGGCTCCCCAGTTCAAGAAAGACAGATATCCTAGACAGAATCCAGCAGAGGACTACAAAGATGATGGGGAGCCTGCAGTATTTCCCCTATGAGGAAAGGCTGACAGACCCAGCGCTGTTCAGCCTGGAAAACTGAAGACTGAGGGGGGATCTTATCATCGCTTACAAACATCCATAGGGCAGGAGACAAGTGGAAGGGGCCAGGCTCATTTCAGTGATGCCCAGTGACAGAACAACAGGCACAAAACTGAACACAAAAAATTTCCATCTAAGCATGAGAAAAAACTTATTTACTGTGAGGGTGACGGAGTGCTGAAACAGCTGCTCAGAGAGGGCATGGAGTCGTCTTCTCTAGAGGTACTCAAAACCCTTTTGGACACCTTCCTATGTACTCTGCTGCAGGGAACCTGCATTAGCAGGGGGTTGGGCTGGATGGTATCCAGAGATCCCTTCCAACAGCTCTGATTCTATGAAACCTGTCCTAAAACGTATTCTTATGTGATGCAGGTGAGTACTTGTTAAGATCTTGCTCTAAATTACAATGCCATCTCATTTGATCAAAAGTATTTAACATGAACACAGAAAGTCATCCAGACACAAAACCAGTTACTGATGCATGCTGACATTTCATTCTTGGCACTGGTGTATCTCTTGCACCAAAAGGACTTACTCATAATGAAACCCAATGTCATGATTCCCAACGATAACCACCAGCTCAGTAGTAACTGGATACTTAAACATTTTCTGAAATCTCCTGACATCATCTGCCCATGCCTGCAGGAAGAAAATGAAGAAATCAATCTGTTCCACAACATGGGAGGGATACGAGGAACTACAAGTGTATAATACAGAAGCATGCGCTTAGTAAAATGCTCACGTTTCCTATGTTCTTTATCAAGCGAAAAGTGCCAAGATGTTACTAAAAATGAAGGAGAATCACAACACATCAATTCGTATCTAAAACACTACAAACTTCTGTGAGTAGGAAAATTGTAGTAACATGAAACAAAGCCTTGCATACCTAGTCTGTTTTCTTCTGCCATCCATTTCCTTCAAGAAATCCTCATTTTTTGAAACAAGAGAGCTTTTCATGTCATACCTGAGGTGAGTCCCATTTTCCTTCATCAAAGACATCTCCCAGAATAAAAACAATATCTGGCTGCAGCAACCACAAAGCAGTTTGGAAAGCTCTCTCCATTTGCCATTCCCTAGAGGGAAAACATGCACCCAGTCATCACTGCATAACTCCTTCATCCTCCACTTCGGATACATGAACACAGCCTTTCAGGAATGGGAAGGTGGCTCCTACACACTGAGAATGTTGCCAAGAAATTCCATTTAAATACTCAGAAACTGAGTTTAAGTGCTGTAGGTACCTCCCTACCTGGTGTGGGTAATTCTACGGCAACAAGATCAGAATGAAATCATGCAAGAAGGAATGCCAAGTTGGTTTATTGCTACTGTAATTCCATTAAACAACTATTTATTAGAATAGTAAATTACTGAATGAGTTTTACTACACTTTTATTTCTTCAGCAAAAGTTTATAAGATTCGTGTCATGATAGAATCAGTACTTTTTCAGCATTTTTTTTTTAACCACAACCAAAACAACAACTAAAATACAGCTTTGTGCAGTAGTCATGATTGGGTTACCCTTGGTTTTAGATATGATTTTCCACCCATTCTTCTACTATAAATATCTCTCAGCTTCCTTTTCTCTGCAGTTAAAGGGATTAAATGTTGGAGCATCAAAGTTCTCAGGTTCCATTAATTACCATTAAAAACTAAAGACAGGATAGAGATCATGCCAAAAATTAAATTACTACCTTCGTAGTTTATCCAGCCAATGTCCTTTGATTTCACCAAGCAGGTGAGTATCAGCTAAAAACATGGCCTTCAGGACTGAAGCTGAGGTCTCTTCATTAGCTGTGTGAGCCCCACCTTTCACATCCGGCCATCGACATTGAAAAATTACCACATAATAAATGAAAAATTCACAAAATATTAGCACAGAGCTGACAAAGCACACGAGTTTCAGCAGGAAATAGATCCTCTTCTTCAAAGGATGGCTCTTCACACTGGTCAAGCTGGCACTCAGCATTGCAGTATCAGCACAGAAGTCTTTCCCAGTGGCTAAGTTCTACTCTCTGAGGTGAGAACAGTAGGGTTTGGTCAGAGGGCCAAGAGAGGCTTCATATCAGCATAAAATCCCTGTGCTGAAAATAGAAAATAAAATATTCAAAATCTCTCTGAAAAGGTGCTGTGAAAGGCCAATGGTGTTCATTTCTCATCTGTGTGAAATCTTTGGATAGTAAGTATAAATGCATATACACATACACACAATGATAGAATTGTTTAGGGTAGAAAGCACCAACAGAATCATCAAGTCCAACCATCAGCCAACACATACACACAGACAAAAACAATTTACTATTCCCAAACAAGTGAAATGTGAGAAAATGAGCCTCAGTTAGTGAACACATTGTGTTTCCTAACTTATTCCACCCTGGATAGCCTGTAACTCGAACAAGGAACTTACACCCTTTAAAACCATAATTTTATTTTTTGCCTTTCGAAGGCTAATCCAAATGACACCTTCACTCCGATAATCCACAACTGAAGGATCATTTCACTTGCTTACAGGCACTTAAGAGAAACTCAGTGCTTCTGGCTTAAGGAAGAAACACACACACTTTCATAGTTCTACTTCTCAAGTCCACAGAAATCTCTCACATGTGTTAATGCATACCAGAAAAGAGCATCCCAAGAGAGAGGGCAGCGAGAGCAGCCCTTCCAAGGGCAATCAGCCAGGGCCCAACACAACTTCCCACGTCTTTAGTCTGCATCAGACGGACCCACTTTGTAAAAGCCAACAGCTAACAGAATAGCAAGGGCTCCAGGAAGCTATCAAGGTGCTACTCACACCCTCAACAACAAACTTTTACAGAAACCCACAGAAATTCTTGTCACCATTCCCCTATTCACTTATTACATCAGCAAAATTGCACCCTAGTGGTAAAATGGATGGGACTTTGAGCAACCTGGTATATGGGAGGTTCCCTGCCTACAGCAGGGGGTTGGATCTAGGTGATCTTAAAGGTTCCTTCCAACCCAACAATTCTATGATTCAATGAAATAAAAAACAGATAATCTTTTTTTTTCCCCACAACCAAAACCTCCATCTGATAACAGACACTTATTTTTAAACATTGCAAATAAACACTACATAGCACTTGTTCAAGACAAAGAACCATTAGTCTCCATCATGTAACACTTCCAGCATACATTATTTAACATTAGCATGACTAATCTATAATGATATGTAATCCAGTTCTATCTAAACCTACTCCTACATGACAAAGCTACTGGCCAGACATCTCAGTTTCACAAAACAGAGGAACCACAAATAAAGGCTGGTTAACTTAATACAAATCTTGTCTGCATTTCAACTAGCAATGCAGAAATCAGTGAGATCTTGTTTGTGCATCTCACAGCAAGGCAGGATTACAGCAAAAATGTCCATCCAACATATCCAGCAAGAAGCAGAAAAGCAGGTAAACTCACCCTGAACAAACTGTACCTACCCCGTAACTTGGAAAGTAGGCTGTGACAGTTCTAAACAGTCTCCTCTCCCAGGAAAAACAGTACTGGGTTGAATAGAAAATGCTAGTAAGCCTATATACTTGCATTAGGCATGTAAAAAATAAGATAAAAATGAAAAATCACATGACTCTCCTTATTCACAGCCCACACAAAGCTTAACACTAATATAACCTGTCACTTTGCTACCAATACCAACATGTTCTTTACTAGATTTTTGTTATGCCATTTTTCACACATCCAAGCTCTTCAGAAGCTGCCCACACACCAGTCCCCAGAGTGTGCACACTCACTCTCCTGCCTTCCTGCTGCTGGCTGTTAGCGTTCTGGGAGCCGTGTCACCGGGTGGGGAAGATGCCCAACGTCCCCCATCTGCAGCCTACATTTCCAGTGAAAGATCAGAAGACAAACCAAAATCTGAGAGGCAGAACAAGCTGAAGGACAGCTCCCGCAACAGGAACACCCATCTGCATCGCCCTCGTCGCTCTCCTACCTCGCCCTGCAGCCTGCAAGCCGACAGCTGCTCACATCCCGCCTGCGCCGTGTGCTCACAGCCACGCATCTCCGCACACCAAATGGCAGCGCGTGCAGCAGTTGTCCCAGCCTCACATACGGGCACCGGCAAGCAGAAGCCACACGGAAGAAAGCTGTTTTCTCTCTCTCTCTCACACGTGATGGAAGGGCCAAAAATAGCGCTGTCAGACCACAGATGCACTGCAAGATGGAGCTGTGGTGCAACACGGCGCTGTGCAGCGCTGCTGCTCCTCCTTCTCACAAGGCCGGTCATTTAGGTTGGACCAAAGCATGTGCTGTCACCAGGGCTTATGGAGCTATGCCAGCAGAAGAGACTGAGGGATTTCTCACTGTTGATTGCTCAAAATAGATGGCAGTGGCCAATGCAAGAACGATTTTTAAAGTTTTTTGAGGTTGTCGTGAAGATGAGATCAAGATTTTTCAGCTGGTTATCCAGCTTTTGTTTACAAGTGAGGTAGGGATGAAGCAAGATACAGTGCTATGCAGACAGAGCAGGAAGCAAGGAACTCAGAGCTTTATCCTGCCTCTAACTTAGTGAGTACGTAACCCTAAATACCTCGTGTTCTTTTAAGCCAAATTATTAATTTACAGCTATCAAACTATCACAGTGTGATAGTCTCTGTGTTGTTATTACACAAAAGAAGCTGTGTGAGGGTATAAGTAAACACAGTATTTCTAACCTCAAGATGAACTCAAATTTTCACTCACTTTTTCCATTGTAGTGTCGCAAAGTTACAGCATTCAACCTTCAGAGAACATAACTCAAGGTCTATATACACTTCAAAGCATAACAGTTACAAACAAGTTCAGGTTCAAACATCCCAAGTTTTCCCTCTTGAAATGCACAACTGTGTTCCCTCTTTGCATTCAAGGCTTTTTCTCAGCCTCTCTGTCTGAAGCAATGGAACATTTCTACCTTGTGCGCTCTAACTCTCAGCACTCGATTCCTATCAGTGCTTCAGATACTGGCGTGGTAATACTCTTCAATCAAATAGGAGCTTCTGATGAGTTAAATATATATAATTATAGAATGGCCTGTGTTGAAAAGGACCTCAAAGATCATCTAGTTTCAACCCTCCTGCTGTGGGCAGGGTCGCCAACCACTTGACCAAGCTGCCCAGAGACATAAATACACATATAGAGTCCATCAGTAGAATGCCAGTGTTTACATGGTTTTTATATACATACATGGTCTTGGTTTTTTTTTTAAACATATGTTTTATTTACAGGAAAGGACATATTGAGAAATTCTTCAAACTGAAACACAAAGATTTGATTTTCCCACAAACACCCACAACCACAGCTGCAATTGGTGCATTTTGTGAGTGCGAAACAGAGCTCTGAAAACTCAGCTGAAGTTATGCAGACCACAGTTTATTTAAAAACCAGACGTACAAAATCAAATGCATAAAATACAAAAATACTTCAGAACAGCTTCCTACACTGAGCTGATATTACTGAATTCATAATAGTATCAAAATGTAGCACTACATTTCAAATTTGCAGTATAAAAAAAAAAGTGGAAAACCTACTTGCCATTGGATCATCAGCAGTTACAAATGTGCTGTAAAAGGAAGTCCAAAGATTACACTTATTTGTTTCAAGCACTTCTCATACTGATTATTCAGTTTCACAGATTCCTGCACAGCACGCTTTAGATCTTCTATCTCTTCAAAAAACTCCTAGAAAAACCCAAAAATAGTCACCTCAGTTTCTTTGAAAGATATTCTCTATAAGAGCTGGTCAGCGTTTCCATTGTTCCCACGTTCAGACACTCTCTGTTTTAATTAGGATATGGCCAAGTTCTGCAAACACAGCACACATCCACTATAATCATGTGTTAATAGTTTAAAAACTTTGCACTGAAAGGGAATGCAAGCACAATTCAAGTTACTTCAGAGCCTGAAATAGAGACTGATAATGGAAAAGATACAAGAGACACAATAGAAGGAAGAAAAAAAAGTTGGTTTGTCAGAAAGCTAGGAAATGGCAATCCAAAATTGACAAGGAAATAAATGTCACTGTCACAAACTCATCTGTGCAGAAACATAGCAGCACAGGAACAGAACACAGAAACAATCTAAGTTCAAAGGATATCTGAAATAAAAATACAGAGAAGAGCCAAAAATAAAGGTTTCTATGAGATCTGAAACAGCCACCATGCAAAAACATGCAAAAGTCAGCCGGCCGTAGAGAGCACACCACTAACTTGGAAGAAACTAAAGGAGTAAAATTATTAAAAGGGGAAAATAAGCAAGAAGAGATGTAAGGAGAGCCAACTATGGACAATAATGTTAGCATTTGAACAAGGCAATAACAAAGAGTTTAAGGTGGAAGAACAGATGCAACATTTAGAGATGGAAGGATATACATTTCTTCAAACCGTGAACTTCATTATAAATTGCTAGGGTCAGTTTAGAACCTTCAGGACAGCTACACCATGTTAATGAATGTGCTGTTTCAGATCTATTATTGATGACTGCACTAGGAGTGGGCAAGATTTATGATGCACCAAATGGATAACATCATCCAACAGATTCAGCTTGATCAGACAAAAGCAATTTGCAAGAGAGCTGGGAATGAAGAAGAGCAGTGTGTGAGGCTGTAAGAAACACAGAAACAACTCAGTAAGCAAACCATAACAACTAGTCCTGGTGAATGTCAGCCCACAGAATTCACTTCCACAGAGTAATCCTCTTGTAATTACAGTTCATAACTTAACAAGTACTTCTATCTGTACTTAAATAGTTCAGTTCAGCTTCATAAAAATAAACTTCAGTTATTACAATACTAATAGCCTGCAGCTAAGATGAAACTATTTCTTGTTCAACTTCTACAGCTCAAGTCTATTGAGCAGTTCAGACACTCTGTAAGCAAAGTCAAATGGTGTTGGAAAACCTAAGGATTGTAAACAGAGTATAAGCAATCAAAACTTCATTTCACCAAATCTGTAAAGTCCTATCTACCAAAGTAACACTGTTATCTACTTACATTTGACATCTTCTCCTGCTTCTTCTTTTGACTTTTTTTTTTTTAAAAAAAAAAAAGGAATAGCTACATACATCCTAAGTAAGCACAGTGACTTTAAAACTACCAAAAAAAATGGGTCCATAACTTCAGAGCAGTATTTTCTTCTTCTGAAAGATTAAATTTCAGCCATGAGCTGTCCCTGAATTCCAAGCAAGGGGGATCTAGAACTTATCCATGCTTAATGCTCTACACGTTTCACATCTACTGAATTAGCACCAGGTTTTACCACTACCTCTGTAATGAAAGTGAACTCAATATTATTTGCTTTTAGAAAAATTAAAGCATGTTTTACACTGAAAATAAAATCTTAGACCAGTAACGTTAAACTGAATCCCCTACAGCTAAGTAGGATCTCTCCACTTCCCATATCAATTCAAGAATCATCACTCTTCCTCCTTTGATAACTGCAGAGACAACCTACCACAAACCCTTCATGGCCCTCCAACAGTCACAGTTCTGTCACAGACACAGTTTCAGTTAACAGCACTTGTACTTTTGATCTTGTAACAACAGAAGACAAAGAATCTCTCTTGGAGGAAATTAAGTTGTTGAGCCATTAAAAAAAATGCATCTAGAAGAAAAATTCACAATTTTAAAGTAAAAAGAAAAAAAAAAAAATCACAATTATTCTTTTTCATCAGCCAAGCAGTATTGCAAGATATCAGTATTTCAAGGAGTCATTCATCTCTTTTTCCGAATGGCATACACTGATTTTTTTAAATGTATTTTGCTTGCTAACAGCCAAGATAGAAAAGTTTATTTTTCAAAAATCACCTGCTCTTATAAGAACAGGTCCTATAAGAAATTACCTTGTTTAATCCAGCTAATTCCTTCCTTAGTGCTCTCCTTTCCTCTGACAACTTTTCATTTTCTTTCTTCAGCTTTTTAATCTCCTTTAGCAACAGCTCTATATTCAAATAACAAAATACAGACTTCAGCCATCACAGTCAGCCTCCCCCTCACATGAATCAGACCGCAGCTAAAGAGCTGCCAGCATTTTCTGCTATTAGAAAATTATGCTTCAGCTTTTTTAAGTTATCTTTTTCTTACAGTGGCTTATTCTTAAGAACTGGCCAAGATCACTCCCAGCTGCTACAAAAGGTGCCAGAATCTGCAAATTGGGCATTTTTGAACCAATTCTTAGAAGGTGGGGGTTTTTCCTTTCAAAAGAAGTTGCAAAACAGCTGCATTACTGCTTGATTACCATTTTCTGACTTAAGAAAGGGTCACATTAGCTGCTGCTGATCACTTCCTGAAAAATTATACATACATTATATGACCTCTTCAACTTCTTTTTAATAATGCTTTGAAGAGGAACAGGATCGTACCTTATAGCTTTAGGTCCACGAGGAAGACGTGCACAAACCAACACTGGATGGATTTATTGCACGTGTTATGGCTAACTTGTGGATCACTGTCTAAAAGCCAAAGAATGTAGCTACTAAGTTTTGTACTGGAATAAATAATGAATGCTAGTGAATGCACCACGCATTCATGCCCATGATTATAGTGCAGAATTGGATTCACAGATACAATATTAAAACGGCAGCATTTTAGATGCTGCAGTGTAAGAAATAACTGAGAGTGCATACAGATCAGAAATGAAACTCATCCCCTCTGGTGGTCATAGTGGAAGGAGCATCATTGAAATGAACTATACCATTACCTAAATATTTACTGCAGCAGGACTCCTCCTTTTTAGATGTGTCTCTGTGAGACACTATTTCTCCCTCTAGGGTTCGACTTCTTTTCCCAGAAACAGCATGAGTTTTCCACAAAACATTATTACGTTCCAATTTCTCAATCCTTTGCTTCTGCTCTTGAAGATTATGCTCTAGCTCATGAATTTTCAGCTGTCAAGAAACCAAAATTTATTTTAAAATGCATAGCAGAAACATAGTTCAACTGAGTACGAATGGAAATGTATCCTGAACGCAAACCTAGAGCTTTCAGTTGCTCAATTAAAGGTATGTTCATCTAGAAGTGTCTGAAAGGAGAGGGAAAACGTAGCAACTGAAGATCTGCACACCTCAGAAATGTTTTTAAGAAATATGTAACTGAGCACACAGCCAACAAAGCAAAACTGTTCACGCACAAAGATGCACAAAGATACCAAACCTTTCCCCACAATACACTCATGGCAGCAATTCCCAGCTTTTATGAAAGGCAGACATAATCCAGTCATAACAAATATTCAAAATGCAAAAGGAAGCACACGTTCACAAACTCCTAGGTAAAAATTCATTATAGTGGCCAGCCACGATGCTACTAAATGGCTGAAGAGGCAAAACCCAATTGAAGCAGCTTCTTGGGCCACTCCTGACCACACAACCCAACCTTTGCTTCAGTTATGCTATTCTCATGTACAGCAAGCCAGCAGATCTTGCTGTCTGAAAAATACTCACTTTTTTTAGTTAGCTTGCTGCTGGGCTCCTGAAATAAATCGGCTCAGAACACATAGAGAAAAATATCACAGCTGATGCAAGAGAGGGAAAATGCATATACAGTTGGTAGGAGGGGCAGATAGATGAGGAAAGAAACAAACAATGAAAGAGGAGAGCAAGTTACAGACATACCAGTGACACGGTTCACCTCCAAAGTGAACACAGACTACTTCCCATTATCCTAATGGCACGGGAAACAGAAGGAACAAGTATGAAAAGAAAAACTTTGCAAAACCCACGCTGCAAACCTAAGAATGATTTTTTGGTCTACCAAAGAGCTTATGTTTGGCTATTTGATACCATATCCTACAAGTTCTACTTACAGTGAGGTTTCTAATTGTTTCACTTTGTTCCTGGTTTGTTTTCATTTCCTTAACGTAACATTTCTGTAGATTACTATACTTCTGTAGTAGTCTAAAACAGAAGAAATGTAGAAATTGCAATAAAATATGAATGCCAACAAAAT